TAATCCTAAGGACTTCTCCTATTTTTCTACAAATACCCTAATCCCTGAATAAAAGCAATGAATCGAACATAAATCAAGATTTAATTTTATACCTTATTTCCTATTAATTCCAAAAATCTAATTTTTAAATTCTCTTCCTTTTTTTGTACCACCCTAATACATATTTTCCCCTACTTAAATGTATGTAAATTCACTAACAATGAATTATAACTTTCTATTTTGCTCTTTCTGTAAATAACACTTTGACCTCAATGATAATTCAGTATTACAACAACAAAAGAAAAAAAACGGCAAAGATTGGTATAATTTACGTAGATACATATATCCAACGGGCCTGTATATATATATATGTGTACATTAGACTGCATCACCAAAATATTTCGGAAAAATATTAAGATTTAAACGAGCTGGCCCGATTTGAAAATACCTCCAAAATTGGATTTTTTTATGAATAAAGATAGTTTCTTGAAGAAGTTTTTGAAAAAAGTCCCCTCAGATGATAAAACCGATTAGGCTTCAAAAATCTGCTTAAAAATATTTAAAAATCTTTTCAACGGAATCGTAATAATGAGATTTTTGATAGTGTTTCTTTTTACTTTTTCAAAGATTGACGAAAAACTTAAATAACTGGGCCAAAACTATTCTTATTTAGACTTATGGGATCTCGGTAGAAAGGTATTTTCCCACAATTTTTATTTATGTGCAAAAAAAAAAATCATTCTTGTACCAATTATTATTTTTCAAATACTAACACATCTTAATTCAACTCTGATGTTCGTTCATCCTACCTCTCTATTTCATCTCTTGAATGAGCTTATTAGCAAATAAATAAAAAGGGCGAAAAAAAACTTTCCAATGATACCCCGCAAGTCTAAATCGGAAGAGTTTAGGTTCAGTTATTCAAGGTTTTCTTATACCAATCTTTGAAAAAGTTAAAAAGCAGAATCAAAAAGCTTAAACCGTTTTGTGTATGAGGGGATTTTTTCAAAAAACCTATTTAAGAAACTATTTGCATTCATAAAAAACTCCATTGTTGGAGGTATTTTCAAATCGGTCCAGCTCGCTTAAATCTTAATATTTTTCCTAAACTGTGCGAATTTAGCACAGCGCGTAGGCAACTGGCTGAGCCAGTGGGATCGTCGGTTCGAATCCTACTTAAAGAAGTCTGATGAGGAAATGTGGTGATTTCCGAA